GAATCATTAGGACATGTTGGGATCAGTTTATGTGAGGAGATATTTGGACATGAGCAATTGTATGTTACATTATCAAGAGCAACAAGTAGTGAAAGGATCAAAGTATTCATACCTGATTCAGTATATCAAGAAGAAAAGTTGTGCAAAAATGTTGTGTATTCTGAGGTTTTTTATATATAAGTTTTTCTATTCTTTTTTTTTAATATCTCTGCCTTTTCTACTCTATGATTTGATTGTTCTCTTTTATATTCTATTTACTTTCATCTTCTACCTTTCTTATTTGTCCTCACTGAATTTGTCTATTTATCTTTTCATATGATCATATTTTCTCTTTTACTTTGATTATTTCTTAAGACTTTAATTTTTTCTTTTTAATGGTTTTTTTCAATATATATCTATCATACCATTAAATTTTGTGGGTAAATTGCTATTTATCAAATATAGTAATCACTTAAAACTACACTCCATTTCGGCCCCGTGTGGTAACCACACGGGTGACTATCTTGTCTTCTATAATCCGCTAGACCGGATCAGTTCTGGGTACCTTACCTGGCCGTTCATAATGTATTCGGACACACTTGGCATTATTGGCACTGTACTCTGCGGGCGGCCAAGTACTCGAGTATATGGGAGCAGGTACAATCACTGCTTCCAGTGGCCCCCCCGGCCAGCAGCTGTTACTGGCAGTCCTGAACGTGTTCAAGGTCATCCCTAGCGGACAACGGTCAGCCGGTCAGGACCATCCCCAACTGCAGTTTACGGACTGGCGAGCGCTGTGCCGCGGGTATAGAAGTTGAGCCTATTGGGGCAACTATAATGGCCCCCGGTACCCGTAGGAATGATCACAGAGACACCATCAGTCCCTGTGGGATTTCCGTTGTCTCCTCCTGTTCGCGGGTAACCATTTCCCCCGAAAAAATTGGTTGCATGTCTAGTTGCCCCTCTCAGTCACCCCAGGATCACAAAAAAAAGCACTGGCACTGCAACAGAATACTCTCCAGAACATGGCTGCTCATAATACACTCTACCCGCTCAAGATTAACTCTACAACTCTACTGGACACTTGATATCACCTAAGTGGCAAGTTTCTATATCCAACGGAATAACCGTGAGCGGTCACAGCCTGCCTGGCCCCCCTCTCCACCGAGTTGGTCTTCTTTCGTCCCACACAGTGCGGTCTTCGCCGGACCCGGCCCCGCCAGACGGGCCCACTGGAAACACTGGGTACAACAAGGGCGGTGGCAATATAGTCAAAAAAGCCTACTTACACACGTTCGAACAAACTTTTCACCCCCTAGTATTCTTTGCCAATAATAATCTACTTACCGGCCCTACAGGCGGCAGCGGAAGACGGGTTCCTTCCGGACAGCGCCCGTTCGGCCCTGTGTGCTTGGAAGCAAGAATAAACCAGCCGCCCGTAGGAAGTCGAGAGTCGGCCGCCTTGTACCCCCCCCCCGAATAGCCCCCCGGCATCTAAAGAAGGTGAACGGTATTTGCTAGCGAGAAAGAATGTGCAGACGATAGCTTCGAATGGCCGGCTGGTCACGCTGCAGTGGAGGAGAGTGCCGGAGGAAATTTATAGGTCTAGGAAAGTAAAGCGGATTACACCGACGAAAGTGTAGGGGACTACGTCGGTGTATCATAGTTCGCAGTTTACAATCTTGCAAGCCACTACGGTATCCTAGCACGCACGGATCTTTGTCTATCCCTGGCCCTAGTTCGCTCTCGCGTGCGTTCCCCGCGATTCCCTCTTTTTTTGAGCATCATACTGGGCAAGCACTGTAGAGTACCGGTGCCCGGAAAATTTTTGCGAGCACCTTGGCAAAGATAAATTCACATACAACGACACTATTTCCTGCGTCAAAAGCTGCGTCCCTAGACTATCTTGGAACAGAGAGCGAGTGAAGTAAAAAAAAAAATAATAAAAATAAAAAAAAAGCGTCAAAACCTCTCCAGACGCCCAATTATCTCTCTAGTCCCATTGATTTTTTCCAAGTGAACCGCCCCCTACGACAAACGCCAAGCCAAGCTCGAGTCTCGGGAGGCTTTCGAAAAACCGCAAGTATGCAGTGGTGAGAGGTGGTGACTTCGATTTTCCTGTTAGATAACTGATCGGTGGGAGTGCTCGTACCATCTTCACCCCAGATATTGAGAGAGAGAAAAGACCAAAATCAACCGATAGGGGTCCCATATTTGCATCCCACGAGTCGGTGGCAACAAAATACCGTACCAGTACCGGTACTCCCCTTTTTTTCTTCACTTCCCCCCCACACAGTACCCTGACCCGCTGGCCAAGATTGATACCGGTAGAGCACATGAGGCCTCAGATAACGCTTTACATACAGGTACTCGGGTATGGTAATTTACAGTCGTGGGTAATCCAACAGCCAGGGGTTCGGGAAACCTAAGCCTACTACGCTCACAGGAAGTAAAACAATGAACTTGGCATTGGAATTACAGTACTCGAGTACCAGTACTCAAGCGAGCAAGAAACTTTGATTTCTCCAATTCCTGGCTTTCCCATCACCCACGTCCATGCACTATCACGGCACTCTTACTGTGCTCGAGCATGGCACAGTACCGATCGCCCGTCCTCTTCCAAACCCCCAGCGATCCACCGGCCTCTTCCGATCTGACTACACCACCGGTAAGCCAAGCCAGGCGTCATCTAATCGCACCGCTGAGTAAATCCTATCTGATACACCCACCGTGAGCGTTGCGGCGCCGCCGCACTATGCTACCTACTCCAGGAGCGCCGTCATTCAACTGTTCAGATTTGATTAGAAAATATCAAGTCAAGCTGAGGGCCGGATAGTATCTGAAATCTCCAGAAATTTAACCACCCTCTAACAGGACGGACGCCCAGCTGCCTTGGGGAAAAAAAGAAAGAAAGAAAGTAAAGAGAGAGTTTAATTCACCACGAGGCCGATCTGATGCCCTACTACACGAGTGCCAGTATTGCGCTTTGCGATACCTCTCAGCGTTACCATCTCGCCTGCGAGGCTAAAGCCCTCATGTCTTCGCGTTTGGCACGCAAAACCGCTCGTGAAACTACGGGTAGTTATAGGGAGATTTCACTTTTTATTTCGGGGAGAACTGTATGCAGGCGAGCTCTGCAGGGTGAGACAAACCTTAACCGCCATTCCACCAGTACCATCTCAGCTACCGGTACAGTACCGTACTAGAGTATGACGAGGGACTTGAGCCGGACTCCCCAAAAATAGAAAGAGGTTACCGGTTTGACGGGTCAGCTTTCATGCTTCCTTACCTAAGATATGATGGCACACACCAGCTGGGGGAATCCGCATGAATGGTCAAAATGGGAAATGCGTTCATCCCGTGATCTCGTTTTCTCGTGGATCCCCCAGAACGATCGGCGGCCATGCGTATGATGCCTATCGTGGAGGATGCCTATCGTGGAGATAAGAGGCATTTGCATCCCTGGATTATTTGTCTGGGATTTTCTAAGATTTGCTCTAACAGTGGGCCCTGATGATCTACCGTACTCGACAGGGCCCTAGGCTAAGGAAGCGGTTAGGTTTTTGATGATTTGTCGGGAACCCGTGCAATCCCCCGTGGTTTGTGCCGGGCTATCATTGCTTTCGTCTACTCGAAAGACAGACTTGCAAGGCGCAGTAGAGCCATGTGCGCGTTCATCGTGTCCGGGCGGATATGCGGGAGCATATGTCGTCTTCGTAAAATCCGCTGCCCAACGCTGCAGTGCGACCCCGCATCGAGAGGGATATCGTACTCGTACTGTTCTTGTGCAGCACTCTGCCAGCGCTTGAGGGCAGTACTCGTACACGAGAGTGGCTATGCTCCCCGGCTAAGTATCGCTTCAAGCAGGGAATGCTGCAGCACGCTGCCATTGTACAGTACGACGATTGGGGCGGTTGTGTCCATCAGTGATCTACGGCTACTCACCCTCGCCGTGTGTCGGGCCACCGTGGATGTTCTGGTCCTCCGGCCGGCCGCGTTCACGATTTTCATCGGGGAAACGTGGCCGTAAGGTATCAATGGTTTTCCTCGTTATCGGTGCCGGTACCGGTAGTTATATCATTACTGTACGAGTACCACGCTCAAGGATGGGAGCCGCCAAAGCCCCGACGCTGTGGTACAAAATACTACAAATATTGTACTCGAGTAGAGTATGGGGCACAATTAAATATGATACAGTACTAGTACAAGCAGGATGAGGCCATGGCCCCCATACATGGTGCGGATTAGGAATAAGAGAGCCCATAAGGGCTTAGCGCCCTGCAGATCAGAAGGCACGGAACTTTCTTTCCCCGCCCAGCTTCCAAACGGGACAAAACGGCTTCCCGAAGAAGCCTACGCTGGGTCGCTGGGTCGCTGGGCACCAAAGAGCCAACCTCCATCCCTACCATCCCACAGTCCCTTTTTCCTCTTCCCTCATTTAATCGAAATTCACCAGCCCGCAACTCTACCGTAGCAGCGGGTTGATGCGCGGCCCACCCGGGATGGGGTAAGGTAAGGTAAGCTGACAGGAGGGACTGACTACAAAAAAGCTTGAGCCCCCAGTGGAATCCTGTTGGTTGACACCCACTGGTGGCTCGGTCCAGCTTGGTTTCTTTTGACTACCGTCCTTTCTTTTATATAACTTGTTGATCCTCCACCTTGCTCCCTCGTGCTGTTCTGTCGGCCCTAGGGCAGCTCGTCCGAGACCTTACATTCTTTCTTTCTCCCCCTACTGCTGCCTGCTGTGCGGTTACGACTTTTGAAGTGATTTATCACTGTTCCACTCTTTTGCCCCTCGTCAATAATAATTCGCGTAGTGAACATAACCTAGCACTCGGACTTGTCGAGAGTCCTATCGCTACCACACATACACCACAGACTCTGCTCGACATACCACCGGCCCCGGAGTCAATTACGATAGCCCTTAGCCACTCGGCGCGGCAGCTCCTAAAACTCAGTGTGTCGGAACCAATCCCGCGAGATATATCCACTATATCGATCGATATAGATAATAACCAAAGATGTTGTCCAATTTGTTCTCTCTCTTCCATTCCTCAAGATCAGCCAGGGCTCCTACATCCCGGTACAGACCCTTAGGAATCGTAGGCGAAGACCACTTTAACCTCCTCGCGTCCCTACAGGTGGCTGTCCGCGACGAATCGTTGCAATGCGAAAAGCCATCTTCCGCGGCCGAAATGCTCCACGGCACGAATGGGCCAAATCTGAGGAAGCAGGTACGTACCGAGTGCTTGTTCTCTCCCGTTCCCTTTTCTTCTGTTATCCCCGCCAATGAGCAGACCCAGGTTTTAGAGAATTAGGAGGGGAGGGAGTGGAGTGGAAAAGAAAGCACTTTTTTTCACAGGACCTGATCTGTGCTTTTCGCCCCTCTTTTTCTGTTCCAAATTACTCCTTGAGTTCTCTTTTTCTCCCCCCCACCGGAATATGACAGGTGCTGACTCCAACGCAATAGGGCCGCTTGTGTTTAACTTTTGCTCTAAAAAACTGCACTTCCACTTCCGCCCCGGAGAAGATCCGCGTTGCGAACAAACTTGAAGAGGCTATTGACGCTGCATACTCGGAGGGAGATTATAGGCATAGGATATATCGTATTGGCGGATGCCTTAATGTAACTCCTTCCCCTTCTTCCTTTGCTTCCCCTTGCTTCCCCTTACTTCGATACCTTACAGCCGGTGTGACCAACGGGCGAGGAAGTGGTGTTGCTAACGCAACGTCAGGAAAACCCACTGCTCCTCCAGGGCATCCTAGCCGGTGAATTAGCTGTTGAGCAAGTTGCTGTTGCGGGCGCTGTTGTTCGTATTCTCCTCCCCGAACCCCACGCCAACGTCCAGCGACTAACCAATATATTGCTATAGGGCTCGTCATCACCCCCCTCCCCGATCCACGAGAAGGGAAGCGCGTTCGGGATGGAGTCTGGATGGTGCTAGTGCAAGCGTAGAAAGACAGACAACAAACAAGCATAGATGCGAAGTGAAGTGGAGCAGCTATTTTCTGGGACCCTCGGAGACTTGCCATTTCTCTTCCCTCGTATCATAGATCTTGGACTATGTGTTTTTCTTTTTTTCTTTTTTTCCTTCTTTCTTCTCTTTCCCATAGGCAATTCATGTAGATTATTTAGAATGCAGGAACCATTCATGTAAGTTATTAGGAATGTGGGAACCCTCATACCGTACGACACTCTTATCTCTTAAATCACAACTGTGCTACGATTTCTATTTTTCACTCCCTCGGCCAAGACCGACTGAGCACGTAAGACGGCAACTACCATGCATCTCCCTTCCCTTCCCCTCCATTCCTTTTTTTACTCGAGTACACATTCCCTTCCATCGCGCGTCAAGTTCTTTGGTGGGACAAATCCTGTGATGCGAGTATTATAATGCGGTACGGTACCGGAAGTTTGAGTTCCGAGATTTCGTAGGGGTGGTCGGTACGAGAGTACCTGTAGTGGTGGTACCGGCATAGTACTAGAAGTAAGGAGGTTGTTGTCCATTCTTTGCCCAGGATGGGTAGACTAGTCTACCGGTAGTGTACGACGCCCGAGGGTGGCGGGGTGGATAATTACTCACTCCTACTTGTGTGATACCGTAGTCTATATCCTAATGTTTCCCTATCGTAAAAAAAAAAACTCAAAATTGGTCATCTCCGTAGCAGGGGTTAGTCTCTGTTTCACTCACCATGGGTTCAGTCCGACAGGTTAACAGAATTGCGAATAACCGGTCAATGGGATCAACAGCACATAGGATACCGGTACCGGCACTCGAGCCTCAACCGTCCGGGGAAAAACTACAAATCCCCTCTCGGGAGCCGTTGGACCGAGAATCCGGAGATTACGAGGCTGGCGGAGATAGGCGACTTCAAGAGCTTTTGCGGTATGATATAGCACTTGCCCCGGTATCGCCGTGGGGATGATGAATGGTGAGATTCGGTCCCTTGGGTGCTTACTCATGGGCCTCACCGTAGCGCAAGCAGATTTACGGTTCGGTACCGTATCACCTGTACCCAGAGGGCGGGTTTGGGGTTACATGTACGTGCAGTACTTGACACCGGTAACTCTCCCTGAATCATAGATAACGTCGGTTTTAACCATCCTCATCACTAGACGCACTTCCGTCTTTGGAAGGGTCCACACGAGGATGTGCACATCATGCGTGAAGATGGGGGGGAGGGCGGGGGGTGGGTGCATGGTACTGTACTGCACTGTAAATTTACGAGCACTTTAGTTTGTGCCTCAGGAGGTGGTGGTGGTGGTGGAAAAGGGTATCCCGTGCCGTGGGATCTCAAAACCACCGTTATTGAACCGTGGACGTTGTTGTTGGAGTTGCCTCCCCTTGTGCTCGTACGATCTGGTACTCGGGTACCGGTATGGGCGTGGGTGACCGGACAGCCAGGGATTAGAGGTGTCAAAGCTTCTTGCTTGTTTGGGCAATTCTCATGCCAGACTCGCTCTTTTATTTCCTATGAGGGCAAGAACGGTCAGGCCTCTAGAATCCCTGGCTGTCCGGTCACCCACGTCCATACCCGAGTACTTGTACGAGTACTCGGGCATGATACCGTACCGGTATGCCGGTTATCATTTGTTTTTTTGTTTTTTTTCCGCCCCCCGGAGTGGTTGGATAGCACACCTTTTTGTTGTGCCTTTCGCCCCTTTTTCCAAGGAAGGAAAGTCTGGACCACCGAACTTTTCTACCCGGTTCGGTTGTCTGAGATTCCACGGTACAGTATGGTACTATCGGTACCGGTACTCGAGTACAGGTACTGGTATTGGGTTCCCGCTATGCTATTTGGGGGTTGGCGTGTATAGGGGGTTAAGGTCGTACGTGTGGCTTTGTACCCTAACTCATGGCACAGCGCCTCGGGGATGCATAAACCGATAATTTTGATATCATATCATACCTGTACTCCGCTGTACTGCACTGTACGAGTTACTGTGCTGCACCATACGGCAGGTGGTGCCCGAGTATCTAGCAAGTTCCCGCCAACTATCATACATCTAGCAGCTTTTTAACCTTGGCTTTACGCCCCCGATCAGTCCCATCCGAATGCTCGAGTTCATTAAACATGTCCAAGGTTTGGCCCCTTCCGCGCCATCGTTCTCGCCTCTCGGGCAGTGAGGACCTATGTCCATGATATAATTCCCCCTCTTTCTTTCTTTCTCGCTGCAATATCGGCTTTGGCATACAGTTGATTGTCCAAGCAGCGCTTGGGTTCCACCTGAGGATTTACTCCCCGCCATACATGAACTTGCAATGGTGGACTGGGGCGGGGTTCCGGTGGTCGCAAGGGTTATCATTGATGCGATAGACACAGTGCGTTGGGTAGAACTGCACCGGTATGCTACGCCATAAAACTCGATACCGGGCAATAGTGCCTCTTCTGGCGGAAGTAAGGATTGGTTTAGCTGGTGTAAGTATGTTGGCCACACACGGAGCATCTCTTCTTCTCAATACCCACTCACTAGAATGCCCCCCCCCGGTCTGCAGGTTTCTCCCGCCCTTGTTTGGCCGGGTCGTGTGGCCCGCCACCGGCATGGCAAATGGCACGTGGTGAGGTTTAGCAGAGTTGCTGCAGCAGTGTACGAGTACTGTATTCTAGAGGATGAGTAGGCGAGTGATCCGATCCACCGTGGCAACTACCGGTAGTCTATACAGAACCATCAAGTGAGTACTAGGGTGGTACATTACACACTCGTGACACTACTCGTAGACTTTAAAACAAGGCACAGTACCCCGAACGGGGTCGTCACAAGCCAAAAAGCTCTGTAGCATTCCTACTCGGCATACTTATCAATCAATATAGGGTGCCTGTCCAAGTCCCCTCTTGCTCTCCCGCTCATCCTTCACTGTTGATCTTCGGCCCCAATTATTATTCCTTTGGACGCAGAGGGATTTGTTATTAGTTGGTGATCAGCGCCTATTATCATTCTTTTCTTGGGGGTGTATCTTCTACCATAGCCAAAACAACAAACAAGAGAGCCTAGAAAACAGTAGTCCGGGGAACCCGGACGAAAAAAAGTGAATTCTGCCGGTTAGTGGAAGGGGTATCTGTTTCCATGGTGACACTAACCGGAATGCATAGCTACCGTGGTGGCTAAGAGATCAAGAGTGGAGCAACCCTGGTATAACTAGCAGAAGTCTAGGGTCTTAATACCCACAGCATGGGGGACCGGTAAGTCGAAGACCTTGCAATTTCTCAATTAGTCCGGGGAGATATTATAAATACGACGAGGTGGCAAGACACTCCTCTGCACCAGATACCGGTACCAGGGGTGACCACTGTGGTGGGAGAGCAACCGTGAATTTGGGGATTCCATACTGCAGTATTAGCATGACTGAATTTGTCTACGAAGGTGCCCATCTACCACTGAACCGCCCCATCTCAAGGGAAGAGATACCAATAGTTACTATTATGGGATCGGTTGAATAGATACAGGGAGTCTAAAAGTCACCTACGAACTCCACAAGAAACACTGCAATGTCGGTGGCAGGGCGAGGGACTCGCTTGTGGTGGGTGGACACGTCTCCTTCCCGCCCATAGCCCTCTCAATTCGTGAAAAGGATTGCATCACCCTCACTTGGACCGTATCAATTAGAATCTAGCTAGCCACTATGGGACCAGCAATCCATTATCAGGAGAAATCACTCGTCTTGTCCTGTCGCTGGCAGGCAGACCTACAATACAATATCGCATTGGAACCCAGCCACAAATCTACCCAAAAGCAGCGAATCAGGTACTAGGCAATCTGTCTAAAGATTCTGGCAAATTCCGGACAGCACCTCCAGTCCCCTTTATTGATATCATCGTCCTGTGCCAACCGGTGGCTTCATACCGAAGAAGGAAATGTGGCTCGTGTTATATCCAACCGTGATCCTTCTTCACTCTTAAAATCTATAAAATCAGGGAATAAACAAAGGGATATTCCCCGCTCACCATTTATTCCCTGATGCGAACAAACAAGCGCTGCGATATATTACGCCTATTCACGGCCCAGCACCAGCAAAAGATTTTCGGCAGAAGGGTCATACCGGTCCGCTAACTTCTAGCATCGATCTAAGGTGGAGAAAAGAATATATCGAGTTTTGCAAACGGGTGGGCCATACCTTCCCAATTTATCTCGCCTGGGTCCCTGACTGGGGTCTTCGGATTTGCCCTGAGCTACCGTAGTGGAAACCCTGCGCATCAGTAGCTTCTGGGTCGCCGGGCGTGAAGCCGGAGAGTCTGGGCGAAGCCGAACGAAGGCGGGTCGACACACGCACGGGAAAGGCCTCAGACGAGAAAGCGATTCACCAGAAGTGGTAGAAGTGGTCCACTTTTTGCCTAAATCCTTTACTCCAGTGTTTTGTCCACTTCCCAGATACGCCTCTGGTACTCCTCTTCCCAGTGTTGACCGTCAATCCGGATTTCACACTCTATCCAATGCATTTTTTATCGATCCATAACCGCACCGCATCCAAGATATTATATTCAGTTCACCACCACGCTCACGCCCAATAAGCTTGTAAGAGTACAGTGCAGTACGCCTTTTCCCGCTCTCATGGGAACTCTCCCAACCTTCTTTATCCCCGCACTTGCATCAAGAGTGTTCGAAATACCCCTTTGAGCGTGTAACTTACCGGTACGATATGACAAGCTCACTTGCAACTCTGCATCTTCTTCTCCTCCTCCCCCGCACACAACCTCGCTCCTTTCTTTCCCCGTTACCCGGGTTCCCGGGTGCGGTGCGGCGCGTTTGTCCGGGCTCCTCTCCGACCAAAACCCAACCATACTAGTACCGGACTTCTGAAACTCCCCACCCAGCACAACCCGGCTCAGTTTTGCAGGTATGATACTCGTACAGTATCTCGGGTCAGTTTCCAAAGCGGGATTCTGACCGCATTAGAGTTTACCGGTGCCACCGTATGTGTGCGATTCTCGAAAGGTGACTACTCTGTCTATGCCACATATATAGCACGAACTTTCCCGAGGATTTTTTTTTTCTTTTTCCCTTTTTTTACCTGCCGCAGGGAGGATGAGTACAGTACTTGTACCCTGCCGTTTGCGCCGTTTTTATTTTTTTGTAATAATAATAATATTAATAATGATAATGATAATTTGAGAATTAGACATGCAGGGCTCCCGCGACACGACGACATCCCCTCCGCAGTACTCGAGTTATGACAGTGTCGGAAATTTCAATGTTCTTATCATACATCTTCTTCCGGTTTCCGTCCAGGCAAGAATGAAAGGAAAAAAATAAAAAAATAAAAATTTGTAATGCTGTACGGCTACAGTAATCACAAATATTCAGCGTCACGTACAGTAGGTAAACTCGGCACTTGTCACCGCTGCACGGGATAGCTAGTCTAACCCATTGCATGCTTACGCCGAACTGCGAAACTAGAGCAAAGGAATCATCAGAGTTCTGTCGTGAGCCCGAGCTGCGTCTTGTATTATACGATGGCAACTTTCCTGTCAAAAGTCAATGCGACAAACAGCTCCTCACGCCCCCTCTGCTACCCCTTTGTTTACCCTTTCTGGGACCTCTATCGTGGCTCCAGGAAGTATCGGAGGGGGGGGGGGGGGGGGCAGAGGTCAAAAAGTCATGAGGATCGAATTACATTGCAAGGGGGAGGAGGACTTGCAGAAGGAGAGATCGCTGTTTATTATTGTGTAGCGGAGAAACAAGTAGCGGAGAAAAGAGTCAGAGAAGGGAACGGGGAGGAGATTTAACAAGGGAAACAGAGATGACCGGAGAACGGGGACAAGATAGAGAAAAGCTGCAGCGAGGAAATAAGGTGACGATTCGCAAACCCACACGGGGCGCGAGTGACTTATTATGCAACGAATGCCATCCCAAAACCAATTTCGTAATTCATAAGACTAGAGAAAAGTATACAAAATATGATATCAGGGAACCCTGATCCCGGCTGCCAGACCAACCAGACTGCCGATATAGGAGAAACAAGAGAAACAAAAAAATCCCTCCCCACCAGATATAAATACATTGGTACAATACACAAGAAACACATAACATCATCCCTCGTGAATCAACCCAAACTCCACCCAAAGAAATCCATCAAATGAAACAAATAAAAAGTCAAAACAAACACAAGAAAATTACCGAGCAGAGTTATTTCGAAAACTCATTCCCCCACCGATCATACCTCCGATTCACGGCGCCCAGGAGCGCTTTCAGAATCATCTCACCGCTAACCTTCCCCCCAACCCCGGCGCCGGGGGCTTCCACGAACGGCGTAAAGTCGACCATGTCCCTGATGCCGTAGACCCCCTCGAGCGCGTCGTCCAATTCCTCCAACGCTTCGCGCGCGCCCTCCTCGTTTCCAATCTGCACGAATTGTATGCCGACCTGGTGCAGTGGTGCGTTGAGCCTGTCCAGATTCCGAGCGGCAGCGACGATGACGGACTCGGGGTCGTCGGTCGGTTCCCCGTCCGTCAGCACGAGGATGTTCAGCGGCTTTGGGAGCGAGGCGTACATTGTTGGTTGTGGGCCGGGAGTGGTGCTGGACGAAGTGTAGGCGGCCTTCGCGTCGGCATAGCTGTCCAGGTACTCTCGCAGGATGCGGTCCAGACAAGCGCCGGTGGGGGTTATGCCCGCAGGCTGGACGAGGTTGAAGAGGTCCTTCACGGTGGTTGGGGAGGTGACATGCTTGCGGTCGTACTGGGGGGAGTTGAGGAAGTGGATGTCTATGCCATCGGAATCGTATTTGGTGGCGATGGTGGCGATTGTTTCGAGGGCTTGGCCGAGTTGGTCCCAGTGCTCGCCTGCCATGGACGCCGAGTCGTCGACCACGAAGACGGTGTCAAAGGTTTTGAGAAAGTCGTACTGGTTCTCACGGACGGAGCTCCTATACTTGCCCAGACCGGAGGGACGAGCGGGTTTGGATGCGTTCTTCTCGTCCAGACCGTGGGTTGAGGTTTTGGGAGACTGTACGCCAGGGCTGGAACTATCCATTCTCTTTGGTTCCTGCACGATGGAATCACTGCTCCCGATCTCTACCGCTCCCGGGTGAGGCGCAAACCTTCTGGGGACGACAGAAGCACTGTGGCGCTTCTGTGGCCCATCTTGGAACGACATGTTGCTAGCGGGGGAAAAAGCGATGTACTCCGTCGCGTCTCGATGAGGAGGAGTAACTGGATAAGGGGGCGGCGGTCGATGGACCGGCTGTGAATTTGCCCTGCGAGCCTGCTCCAGTGGTGAGGGGGTTGGAGGGGTGGTCCTTATAAGGGGTGTGAGTGGGGCTTTAATTGGTCATCAAAGTTAGCACGAGGTAACGTCATTCGCAGGCGGGAAACTCACGACTTTCCCCACGGTTTCGTCGGTCCCCTTGGATCTCCACCCCGCCAGGCGAAGCGATGGACGAGCCACTACTTGTTGCGCTGCTCGAAGAGACCGAAGAACGCTTATGCGGACGGGATTTCCCCGGTCCAAACTCGGGGTCTATCTCCCTCGGCGGTCGGGAAGACCCTTCCTTGGGCGCATCGGCAGTGGTGGCCCTCCTCTTGCGGTGTCGGCGGCGCCGCGCTTCTTCGTCCGAAGAGATTATAATCGCCATATTCCCGCCCGTTGGACTGACCGTGTAATCCTTCTTGTCATGATGGTGATGGTGGAGGTGACGATGGTGATGGTGATGGCGGTGCGGGGTTTCCTCGTCAGATGCGTCCGAATCCCCGCCTCCACCTCCACCTCTGCCTATGACATTTGACAGGCGACGAAGGGCGCTCATCCCCGGCTTCGTTTCTTGAGCAAGAGGGGTCAAAATTTGGAGAGTTTTTCTGTGGGGGGTAGCAGCGAGTGTACAGTATTTACTTGAGCACTGTCTAGGCAGGGGCCGTGTATTCAGGCGCGGGGGCGGGGGGGATAAAGTGCAGTTTAAAGTGAGGATCCGCAGTTTCGTCGACGGATAATGACAAGTGTACTCGTACAGTATTTACCTGAGCACTGACTACTCGTAGGGGCTGTGTATTCGGGGGAGGGGAGGATTCAGAATAGCTTAGGTCAAGGTGAAGATAAAATCCAGAGGAGGAGCCTCGCATTATATGTCATGTCCCGGGGGCTTGGTATGACTAGCCCAAGCGTCGAGAACGGTTAGGGTAATATGATAGGGTAGCACTAGCCAAGGCTGAATCCTCTAGCGCTTCTAGAAGATTTCCTATTCCGCTTTCAAAGCCACCCCCGCCTTGCTATTGGTTTATTTTGAAATGAAAACCCACACCCTCTAGAAGCACATTTCTCGCCCCGGAGGATTTTGATGCCGTCCTCGAGTGCCTGGGCACCCTCTCGTTCACGGAGCATCACCTTGCCTTGGAGAAGAGTAGCGGCACTCACTGGCAGCACTCGAGAAAGACCCACTCGAGTATCGCGAGGCGGGATCACAGCTTCTCCGGATAAGTTATCCCATAATTAACCAATCCGGTAAGTGGTAAGTGACGGCCTCGGGTTTCTGAGGGCTGGCCACGGGTGTCGGCACCGGGTATGACGATGGTGATGCTGGGCAACCCGCTTGGATGATAGAGCACTTGTATCATGGCGGCGGGGTATGATAACATGAGGTATGTTATCTCGCTCAGTCGGTGCCCACCACGGAAGGATTAAATCCCCAAAGTGCGAGGTCTGTTCCATCAGGTTATCACCGTGCGGAACGGTGGACCACGATGCGAAGGGTACAAGTAGTAGACTATAGAGTTCATGAGCCTCCCACTCGCACCAAGGAGCCAATATGGACTGGTCATGCGCCGTTCCTCACAAAGTTATAGTAATAGTACCTCTCTACTAACTCAACTCTTCCTACCGTACTGCACTCGAGTAACTCACCTTCAGGGGGCGGGGGAATGGGTAACCTAATGGTAATGCCAAGTGCCAATCTTGGTGGATGGGAGAAAAGGTCAGGCGAACCCTCTATTTACGGTACTCTAGCCACAACGGCCCCGCAAGCCAATCAGTGTCATACAATACTACTATTATGATACTGTACGAGTATTCGAGTACTTGTATTTTGCAAAAACCATGAATGCTAGACTATTGATTATATAAGCTATACACTACGGTACCCAATGAGCACTATCCTACGATAACGCAATTCCATCTCGTCCATTGGCTGTCCAGCTGCATCCTGGCGAACAACCTCACAGTTAGCACCCGGCACTTTTGCATCCTATGCAAACACATCACAGAAAAGAAGAAAAAAAAAGTGTGTAACCGCCACAAGGAGCCTGCACTGCCCTACAGTGCTCCCCTCCCTGGACTCCATCCTCCCGTCCAGCGGGCATGCACGGTGGATCACGCTCGGAAATACAATATCCTGCCTTGGGCATAAACGCAATGCACAAGACCGCTATGTTATATCACACGGCGAACGCGAAGGCCTTCACTGCAACTTGAACACTGGGAAAGCCGTACAGGTAGCCGGCGGGGCAGCAGAGGACGAACCCTGTTTTATTTTCGGGTAATGCCGCTGGGGGTACACTGTTGTATGCCCTGTGATTGTTGGGGCGGCGGAGGTACGTTCGGGGCATGAGGGTGATCGGGTGGCCTCTGGTGGTTTGGAACTATAATACAGTACTGGTAGGGCGTTGGACTGCAATGTTGATATTGTGAAAGAGCAGCCTTCCGAAGGCTGCAGCGATGCTTTGTCATAGAGACGGTCAGATCGGGATGGCGTGGCACTTTGCAATGTGCGATATCCCACTCGGTCGCACCGTTCGCCGCTCTCCTAGCTATCGTGGATAAGCTGGGCCCTACTTATCGATGTCAAACATGACATGGTAAGACCCCAGTGAGTTATCCCTAAAAACCATCCCGCAATCTCGGCAGCCTTGGTTCATGCCACTCACGAAAATCTCCAGAAGACTCACTTCGCTGTCGGATTCGTATGGTTTGCTGTCGCTTCTTCCTTCGCCCCTTCTATTGTCCCGGGCAACAGCATGGTTCTCGAGCACTGATACTTGTATGATACGGCTGTTATAGTTACTGTGTGCATGGTGGCGTTGGACGTATAGGGTTAAGCGTGATTGTCAGTCACGGTCCGACAACCGTTACACGTACTTGTACTTGCTCGCTGGCAAGTATCTTAGGTAACAGTGAACATTTGTTCCCCTCCTTTTCCCGCGTGCGGTCGATGGGTGAGGGGAGGGGTTCGCAGTCTAGACAGTGTAGCATTCACGAATGAAAAAAAACAGGGAACGATAGAACTGATTGATTCACGGGGTAACCGGACAAATATTAGGGCTCGATATGTATAGAAAAACGCTAGAGCAATACTGGGTATTATAGCAATCATACATGAATCAATCACTACTGGGACTTTTTCCCTCCAGCGCCGGCATCACTGTGATTGAGTGCGTCGATTCCCCCGGTGGACGCGGTGGCGACTATCTCCGCATAGCTCTCGAAGCAGATCCACACGGGGATGATGACCCAGATTGTGTTCATGGCAAAGAGGTAGAGCCAACTGGTGGTGCGATCCGTTAGCCTGACGAGTAGCGAAAGTGCGAAAGAAAAAGGGAAATACGGACGTGTACATGGGATTGCTAGTGTCAAGATTCTGACTACCAGTAAGCCACTCTGGAGCGAAGGTCATCCATCCTACACCCGTCCGCCTTGATTAGCCACTTCACTTCCTCCTCACTCCTTCCCACTATGACTCCCGATAGCAAGACGTACCTCCGTAAATCTCCGCCACCGCAAGCACAAGCATCCAGAACCAAGCACTCCTCTCCCTCCTACGGATCAACTCGGAAACCCACCACGCCAACGGGCCCCCTATCAAGGCAGTAGGGATCTCTAAGGCGAGAACACCAATGTCGGCGTGGGCCCACCGCCTATCCGCCTTTCCATACTCCCTCCACAGATGTCCAAACAGGCTGGTGGAGTGCTCGGCGCCATAAGCACGCGACAAGTCACCCCACAGTACGGTCGCGCTGTTTCCCGTCAAGCCGGTGGGAGCCGAGGAGAAAAAGGAGCAGTACAGGAACGAGACTTCAAAGAGGATGTGGATCAACGCGTCGAAGATGTGCCAGCCGTAGAGGAATCGGGTCTTGGAGGAGGTCCCGACGGGGAGAAAGTACTTGGCGGAGAGGTACGAGGACAACAGGAGGGAGGCGAAGAAGAGGAGTGACAGGACGGTTGTCATATCAATTGCTTGGAGCAATGATGGCGGAGCTACGACGGCGGCCATACCTGCGGTGATAAAACCTTCGGAAAGGAGTTGGTTGCGAAGAATTGAAGTGCCGTAGAGTGGAGTTTTGTTGTTGCGCCTGAGGTACCGTACCGGTACCGCAGGTTGTTGTCACCATAAGACATTATGCCGAGGGGCCTCTGCTCCCGGATAGGGGGAGATTCCTCCAGCCCGAGGGAAAAAGTCGACCCAGTCTCAAACCCCCACACCTCTATGAAAACTCGAGATATCCTCATCTTGTCTGTGTCGATGTGTAGAGAATCGCCCGGTCCACCATCTAACGGATCCATAGGTATCACCAGGGCGATTGCGGGGATCCATTGGGGCATAAAGTGGAGAAATATTTTCTTGGCAAGGCATGATACTCGAGTGCTGCGGCAACACAAGTCCCACACCATATGACTGGTTGACTGGAAGTTGGCCATGCAGGGATACCAGTAGAAGCTACCCTAGGCTACCGGTACCAGTACTCGGATATGGATGTAAAAATCGAGTACACGGGGAACTCGGTTATTGTAGGGAAATATTGAGCTGGCGAGAACAACTGAAGAGATTGACATGCTCTAGTGTAGAACATCCCAGTCCGAGACTTGGTAGGATGCAACATGATCCTGATGATATCTGTGTGATGCTAGAATGAGAAAATAGCAAAACTATAAGCAATCTAAATTCCATACTAAGTAAGGTATTTACCTTTACGTGAACAAGTATTTAGCAATAGTGCTCAGGCTGATAAAATCCTGTAAGAAAAGACTAACAAGAAAGTCTTTTGATAGAGATTAACCAAGTGGTATGATATAGTGTAGTGAAGTTGATAGGTAATTGTTATACATGGAAGCGTAATTGGTACAGCATGTGACTAAATGTATAAGGTCATGTGTTGGACTCTTGATCCCACTATAGTTATTGTAATAATAAGACTAAAAGATTATTGTACAAAACAAGAAAGTATCTATGCTACATATTCGGTAGAGATACAAGGTGTGTGACCAAGGGGTTTTCACTGGGTAATATGGAAAGAGCTCTGCTCGGTAAGATAAGATATAGTTAGATCAAATTGGTCGGTTAATTATAGAGCTATGGCCTTTGCAAGTCTATGTGCTATTATTCTTATAGATACAAGAAGTACATCAGCAAAAATAAAAGCTTACGTCCTGTGTGTCTGACGCACAGGACGCACAGGACGCACAGGACGCCAACTGCAACTGAGGACGCCACAGCCCATGGCGCCAGAACTTGGGAGGCAACCAAGTACGCTTGGAATTCTCGGGACGCAACCAAGTACTGTCTAAACTCTCGGAAGCCAAGTGAGCACTGTCTGAATTCTCTGGATGCAACCAGATACCACAGCCATTCTCAGGATACTAGAGAGCACTGCTAAATTTTCAGGATGTAATACCAGAACTAGACCTTTTGACCTAAGTCACATATCATGTATATTGTGAAAGTGTTAAAATAAACATTATTTGAATTGATATTGGTGCTAGAATACAGAGTACAGAAAGAAAAGTGCAAGCGGCCAAGTGCCAGTGAGTATGGGATTACTCCCATATCTCAGATGACAAGACAGTGAGTATTCTCACTAGATCTACATTCCATACACAATTGAAAAGCCAGTGTCAAGTAGAGCCAGGTGTTAGGTGGCAGCCAATTCTAAGTCAGGCGAATTGTAACTGGGGCCAATAAGGTTTCTCGGAGAGTGGTCAAGAAAGCTAGTAATAAAAGTATGTATCAAAATATAACGAATATATTGATAAGATCTCTTCTCCGTTTGCTGATGATTTTGAAAGCTAAGGATTTTTTTTTGTTTTTGTTTAACTCATATATTCTTCATTAAGGTACAAGAACATGTATGGAGTGCTAGCTATGGTAAAAACAAAACCTTAATTCCAAACGCATTCCCCCGCGCCCCAGGGACCAAAACAACCCCCCAAGACTCTCTGGTATGGGCCTAACCGCACATCCTGCCCTGTACAGAAACAATTGTCCTCAACAGGGAAGGCAGGAGAGGGAAGAAAACCCTTCAGTGTCATCTCGACAAAGGAAATAATAGATTAGGAAACCCCCAAGTGCCTCTACCGGTGTCCACGAACGAATGTGTCCGCTGTCGGGCCCACAATAGGACCCTGGCGAAATGCCATAATGAGGCCGGCCAGCTGAACCCAGGAGATGGTGCAATACCAAGGTAGGCCAACCAGTTGTTAGGCCGGGGGTGGGCTGCAAGCGTGGAGGGAGGAAGATACTGGCAGGCGAGAGATGCCAGCAACCTGTGATAGAGGAGGGCAGCCGATACTGCCAAGGAGGGAGGGGGTAGGCCCCAGCCGCAAGGAGTATGGTTGTAGAAAAGGTTGGATGGTGCCTGTCGTGACACCAGAGCCAGGAAAGAGTTGTAGAGCTGCCGCAAGTGTGGCAGAAGTGAGAGCAGTACCAAGTGATACTGGCACAGAGGGGAGGCGGGAGGGGTAGGCTGAAGTACTACCACCTCAGGGATGATGGGGCCCGAAGGCCAAGGCAGTAAGTAGGGTGCCAGCCAATCCTGGCAGTAGGGTGCTAGCTGATCCCGGAGGAGAGGAGAGGAAGAGGACAAGGTAGTAAAAATCTGGCCAAACAATACGGCAGGAGACTACAACTAGGGTCACAGAAGTAGGCGAGGCTACTCCTGATAGCCCAGAGGACCACCATCCCAACTGACCGTCTAGCCATTACCAAGCTGCCAAAGCCGACTGTGCTAATGCTAAGCGAGGTGAAGCAAAAGCAGGGTAGAAAGGACAGAGACCTCACGATGAGGTCCCCAGGGTGAGGAGAGGACCCCCATCCAGCAGAGGCGAGATGCCAGATGAGGGAAGAAGTAGAAGAGAGGTCCCAATAGGCAGAGGGATGAAAAGAAACAGCTTGCACCCCCCAGCAAGGGGGTGCATGACTATAGAAAAGTGGTGATGATTCCTCGGTGTTGAGTCGTTCCCAATTAGGAAATATTTTTCAATGACTGGAGGTTTAGCAGAGACTGAGGATATTCTGAAAGCTAGGGATTTTTTTTTTTTGTTTAACTCATATATTCTTTGTTAAGGTACAAGAACCTCCATGGAACGCTAGCTATGGCAAAAACAAAACCTAAATATCAAAAGCAACAAACAGTAACAAAAATATTTCTCCGCCAGCAATTCCCGCCTGTAAGTAGTAAAACCCACTGCGCCCGCTAGGGCGACTGATTGCAAAAGGAAAGACAAGCCTCCTCCCGTACAGAGGAAGCACAATGCATGAAAAGTCAAATAAAGCCAGGAAAGACAACAAAAAGAAAGACCACTTCAATTTGAATCAAGGTTAGTACCAGGCGACACACGTCCCCCGCCCATCGCCAGGGGAAGTTGGTTCTGGTATCCGAAATGTATCGTACCAGGCCCCATAAGAGGTCCTTATCAGCCCATAGGGGAGCCTCACAGCCCAAAGAGTCTACTCCCAGGATATGGAGCAGTCTCAAGGAGGCCTTAGAGGAACAGGAGAGAACAGCATGTTGCATAGTCTCTGGCTCAAGGCCGCAGGCAGAGTAAGTGGTAGGTTTGTCTGGCTCGTTCCAGGGGGTATGTGCCGCTAGATAGCTCTTTCCAGCTCTCATCTGGTGTATTCTTCCCGCCAGAAAGCGTTCCAGTCCCATGAACCAGTACGGGGCCTCCAGTGGAGGATAGGGGTAGTACAGAGGGAGGGGGGCCTGTAGTGCCCAGTCCTGGAAGAGGAGGGACCGAGTAGCAGCTTTCAGGAGGGAGTACTTCTGTGAGGAGGAGAGATTGGTGACTGCCCCGGGGACCAGGTGCCTGTTCAGGCCCGGAAGAGTCCCTCTGGTGGTGATTCAAGGCAGGGAATGAGCTGTACCATCAATAGGCAGGTGGGATCGTATGGCAGGAGAGGGCCTGGAGGTCTTTCAGAGGAGGGGGCAGGCTTTGCCCTTCAGTCCAATGGACAGGGCTCGGTTGGAGTCTGGGGCCCTTGTTGCTGATGTGGAGGGGAAGGACAAGAGGAGCCTAGCCGAGGCCAGGTTTATCTCGGGTGGCAAGCAGGCCATCCTCAAGGCCGCTATTCGTCGCTTGTGGGGAAGGAGGACTACCAGAGGGGAGATGCTGGTCTCACAAGAAAGGATCGAGGTAGGGATAGAGTAGAAGAAGTTGGTCACCCAGCGGAGGACACGGTTCCAGAAGAGCTCTATCTTGTGGAGTACAGAGGTGTTGGGTACCAGGAGATCGGCCCCATAGGAGAGGATGGGAAGAATGAGTCTCACAGCGAGCCTCCTATTGAGATAAGGAGGCAAGCCTTTGCCAGGATGAGAGAGTTGTATTACGATAGCGAAAGCCCCTTGGGCAAGTGCCAAACGTTTTGCGAAGTGAGGAGAGGTTTCCACACTAGGAGTAAACCAGTAGCCGAGCCAGAGAACCAGTCCAGTGGGGTGGAAGAGAGTCCCGTCCAGGGTGATTGGGGTATAGCAACACGTCCCGTGGTCCCTTGAGGTCTTCCAGTGGGACAGTTCGGTCTTGGGCACCGAGAAGGACATGCCTATAGCACCTACCCTTCTCTTCAATGCCAGAAAGTAGTGTTGTAAGCACTGCACGTCACGCCTGTAAGAGGGAGAAGCCACCGTAACAGTAAAATCATCAACATAGAAAAACATAATCCCCTTGGGAATATTTAAATAAAGAGGAGACACATAGATGACAAACAAAAGAGGAGAGATAGAAGACTCTTGTGGCGCATCCACCTGCACTGGAGAGAACATATTAGGAGACCCTTGAAAGAGAAGACGACAAGGCCTTTTAGAAAGGAAAGACTGGACCCAGGTGCAGATGTATGAAGGCACCCCCCTGGACTTTATGAAAGTAGTAAGTAGTATTGAATTGATGTTGTCAAAACCCTCTTTGATGTCAAGGAAGAGCGACGAGGCTTTGAGCCCGGGCCTCTGAAGGCAGCAGATCTCGTGGGTGAGGACGGCGCAGGCCTCACAGGTGCTGAGACCGGGGTGCGAGCCGGACTGGTTGGGATTGATTAGACCGCGACAGCGGGCGACTATGGACAGGCGAGAGGCAACAATCCTCTCTAGGATTTTCGAAGAACCTCTGGAGGAGGACGATGATGCGAAAGGAGGCGGAGGAGGAATAGTCTGGTTTCCCTGGTATGGAGACGACAACTCCATTGGCCTTTTTGAGGGAGAAAGGGTGGAAGCCAAAAGACAGTAAGGGTGAGAGAAGGTTAACGAAAAGGGAGGGATTAGCCGCGTGGACCTTCTTCCAGACTCCATAGGAGATCTGGTCCGGGTCTGGGGCTGAAGAGTTGGAGGACTTGGACAGGGCCCTTTGCACCTCCTCGGGAGAGAGAGGTGGTGAGTCACGGAACAGCCTGAGAATAGATGAGGTGGGAGCAGGAGTCTTGTGGGGGAAGAAGTGGCTCAGA